TTAACAGCAACCCAGTTTTGTGCCATGGTGTATGCCGATTTAACTTGTAGTGGTGATTGTCTTGAGCAGAATCCTTGAACCCCACACGGGACCAGTCTAGCGAAGAGCGAAGATTGCAAAGTGAAGCAAATGGCCTGTTTAATATTAAGAATAAGAATAGTAAACACAATGATGGTAATGGTAATAGTAATAGTAATAGTAATAGTAATAGTAATAACAATAACAATAACAATAACAATAAAACAGTAACAGTATGGCCCTTCAGGTGCTGCGCGTCTCTGCCTCCTTCACCTTCATGGCTCCGGACGAAGCCTGGCTTCAGGGAGGCAATGGCCGCACGGATAAGTCCAGGGAGCCCATGGGTTGCCTGGGAGACCAAGGCGGTCCTCTGCAAAACCATGGGGGTACTGTGGGGTAGTGGTGTGTAGGGGTTAAGGGGTTTAGGGGTTTGTAGAGTTCCATGCAAGCACCCAGAGGGTAAGGCCTAAGGCCTGAATATCCTTCAGGCTGGTATCCTCTCTCTGCCATTCTTTGGGCCTTCGGATGGATAATGCCCGAGAAGGTGATGTGTACCCACGTCACAATGAACAAGGTCGACACCATTGTACACTGTGCAGGCACCTTGTGGTTCCCTGGCAATAGGTCTGCAGTCTTCGATTGCGGGTGCACCGCCCCCCATCGCAGTCAGTACGAGATCATCTGCCACTTTTATCTGGATCAATGTTAGGGATCCTTTATACTTTTTGGGGTATGGGATTCCTTATATCTATGTAAAAAGGATCCTTTTTTCTTCCCAGGGTAATGTGGGCTTCCAGTCCAAATTCTGTCATTTGGCCTTCTTGCTGTCTGGACTGGTGCTTTGGTTTTCGGATACGTTAGTCTTGGAGAGCCAAGGTGAGAAAGGCACCGTGAGAGTGGATGACCTCGTCGGTGGCCAGCAGCGCACCGGGAACTTCGCAGCCTACGAGGTGCCCTTTGTCGGCAGTTCGGAGTATGTGCCTGGGTAGACCCCTGGGATATTTACTATTTTCCCTAATGGCTTTTAATAAGGGACCCTATATACTACTATTTTTCAAAGGGTTTTAGGGGCCAACCTAGGTGCAGGGCGATGTCATGGGCAAGGACGAGGTCATGCGTGCGGAAGCCTGCGATCATGTGAATCTGCTGGTGGATGATTTGGCGAATTGCATTCGGGCAATCAAAGCCGGTGGGAAACCTGATCCAGACTGGCCACACCGATCCCTTGCGGTCCACAAGGTCATGTCAGCTGTCTTTGAATCTGCGCAGAAGGGTGGAGCAGCTGTTGAAATTGTAAGCTAGCTGCCGTAGCGCAGCCCAGCTTGGTGTTCCTTGGAGTGCTTGACTCTGCACACCTCATTTGAGCTACCGTCAATATTACCTTTTTCAAGGGACCCTCAAGACTAGACATAAGGGTCCCTCTTGTAGTTTGGTATAGTCGTTAATATAGTCCCTAATGAGGAACCCATGTCCATTAAGATTATGTAGGCAATGTTGACTGTAGCTCATGTTAATGTATCCTGCGTTTCATCGATTTCGAGGGAGATCCAAGAACCAGACGCGTTTTGAATGCTGCTCTACGGGCAAAACCGCTTCAATGATCCTGGAGGGCTCAATTTACTAGATGTATTCGTAGCATGCGCAGATACTTGCCACAGCAGCTTACCAGCCCCTGATACCAGCTCGTGACCGTTGTAGCTGGCACAGATCCATGTCCTTACACGAAGGCCAAGTCCATCCAAATACCCTATTTTAATATGTACTACAGTCTAAACTCTTTAAAGGGGGAATATATGGGGGAATATATAGGAAACTACTATAGGGGTTCCTAAGGGAGATACTAGGAGTTTAGACCATAGCTCATATAGTAGTTTCCATTTTCTTTTCCATTATCCCTATGTTACCCCCAATAATGTACCCTATATTCTATCCCCAGAGCATTGAACCCCCAAGATAAACGCATTCAGACAGAAAATTGGAGAGGTCTGCCTTCAGTTCGACAGCGCTGTCCATCTTCGCCAGGCAAGCACTGACGGGCTCTGCAGTTTCGCTGTTTAGCTCTTTGGGCAGGTGCAGTTCCTCTCTCACCAGAGTAAGATAGCAACCAAGCGCGCGCCTGAGTGCAATTCAGGCCCAGGTTGTCTGGAGAGTGAAATCACGATGAGACAGCCAGCTTTCTCTGTATGAATACGCTGTTTTCAGATTCCGCTTGCTAGTGGTGTGAGAACTACCCTAGATGTTTTCATTATTGCTGATGTTCATCGGGCACCAACGCAGCAGGATTCACAAACCCTGACACAACTCAGATAATTGCGACAAGGACGGACTTCGTGGAGACTTCCCATCATCATTTAGCCCACACAGCACGGGCGCCCCCGAATGTGTTTTGTTGAGATGATGGAGCCCTAAACCCCAAACCCTTATCAAATCCTTGAAGGGACCCCTCCTCGGGGCCTCCTCTTGTGAGAAACTCCTTTCTTGCTTTAATTATTCCTTAAACCCTGAACCCTAAACAGTGGTTCCGTTTCATTTGCATTTCCTGTTCCATTTGATTCTCGATGCTCAGGATAATATATAGGTACATAGCCCTTGTAGAATCCCTGAACCCTAATCCTACAAAGTCTGGGTTTCTTTAGTATCCCTAGATAACACCCATGCTTGCTTTGATGTGTTTTTCTGGCATTGGGGCCCTGACCCCAGACCCGAAACCCTGAACCCTGAACCCTAAACCCTAAAGCACAGTGCTGATAGTCAGACTTTTTTTTGTGCGTCAGGTCTCATTTGGCCCTAAAGTCTCCACAGAACTTTGCAAGAACAAAACGTGCAAATCCAAATCCAGACCTGACACACACAGGAAAATTCCCGACTATCAGCACTGTGTTTTTCCGCTACACACTCAATCAACTGTACGAAAAGACTCCGGCATTTTCAGAGAACGTTGGCCAGCGTTTTGTCGTCAAGCAAGGCCTTCCAGAAGCGATCGTTACGCAAGTCTGGGTTTACGGTTTAGGGTTTGGGGTTTAGGGTTTAGGGTTTAGGGTGAAAGTTAGTACCCCACCTCCCGCCCCCCTTGCCGCCGCCTTCCCAAACCGCAGAGCTGAGCAGAAGCAGCCGCGGGCGACAACAGCCCGTTGTCGGAGAGCCTCCATCGCACCGCGAACCCTAAATCCTAAACCCCAAACCCTTAAACCTAAGCCATTAACCCTGAACCCTAAACCCTAGATCCTAAATCCTAAACCCTAGACCCGAAACCCTAAAACCCTAAACCCCTAAACCATCCGGGCCTCCACCGAAGTTTGCCCCGAAACCTTTAATCCTGAAGCCTCAATCCCCAAGGATCGAGCTCTTTACTGGGCTCACGCCACCCTCGGGGCAAACTTCGGTGGAGGCCAGGATGGTTTAGGGGTTTAGGGGTTTAGGGTTTAAGGGTTTAAGGATTTAAGGGTTCAGGGTTTAGGGTTTTGGGTTTTAGGGGTTTAGGGTTTTAGGTTGGGTACTGCCCCCACCCAGTAACAGTCTACATTGGGGGTCCTATTAAGGGCGATATATATCCATGTTATAGTTATTATCCAGCTGTTACTGAGGGGGGGGCAGTACCCAAGTTTTAGGGTTGTAGGGTTTAGGATTTAGGATTTAGGATCTAGGGTTTACGTAGAGTGTAGGGTTCAGGGTTAATGGCTTTTTAGGGGTTTTAGGGTTGAAGGAGCAGGGGGGTTTTGAGGAGGTTTCTCAGATACGGGGATGTTTCCCCATAGTGTGTACGGGTTATATAGGGTAATCTAGGGTTATAGAGGGTTTTACAGGATTATGTAGGGATATTACCCCGGTAGTGGAGAATCAAATGGAAAAGAAAATGGCCAATGAAATGGAAACAGAGATTATGTAGGGGTTTATAAGAGTGATATGAGGGGACAACTTTTTGCGGTTCCTATAGCAAGGATGACAGTGCAGGTTAGGGTATATAGGGGAACCTCATTTCTGGAAACTACCGTTTCTTGTTGAGCAGGGTTGAGGGTTTGGATATGAGATCTCGAGGTTCAGAATAGCGACAGGAAAGCATGGGCTATAGTCCAGACTCCTTAAAGGGGGTAAGGTAGGGGAGTATCCTATGGGGTACTCAGGGGATACTAGGAGTTTAGACTGCTGTAACTGTAGCTCACATGGTGCTGCCTTCAGGCTTCGCCTCTTGACTGCAAAAAGAATCCTTGACTCCTGTTGTAGACCAGCCCGTTGATCCGACATGACCCGACAAGCCGCCAGCAAGTGATGCATGACGGGGCAGCTAGCTACAAGAAGATTCTGAGTTCTCCCCAAACCCAAAACTCGAATCACTACGCTTCAAAGTGATACCGTCAAGTTCGATCTTGGGCAGGGAAGCGGCTGTGGTGTTCTGCACCTGCCTGAAGGATCCCTCAGATCCCATCCATGGCCAGGCCGTGCAGTTCAAGCGGTTGGGCTATCTCTCCCTGGACAGCAACGAGCGCTCTCAGTTCCAGGACATCCTCGCCTGTTTTTGCGAGCATGTGGGTAATGGGCATTCAACCTGTTTGCACGGGCAGGCGCGTGAACTGAAGAGCGTCTACGTGGACGTGGTGGCGCAGTTTCTGAGGATTCTTTTTCACAAGTGCATGCCTCAGCATGTACATCTGCTGCATGGTCAATAACGGGAACATACGGGCAGTACAGGGATAATGGAAAAGCACATGGAAACCAGTACATTCTAATAGGGTATGCATAATGCAAGAGCCATGCCAGACATCCATGACTTCAAGCCTATCAGCAATAGCTATCAACCTTATGCAGAGCTGCTAAGCAAAATGCACATGTATATGCGGCAAAGGGAAGTGCTTCGAAACATCAAATGTTGATGGACATGAACAAAGTTTTTGGGACATGTAATCCCTAAACGATGTTTATTCCTTTGAATCTTCTGGACGTTGATTGGACAGGTGCCACATCAACCGCTACAATGCTTTGAACCAAGTCGGGCTGATCGCTCTTAGCTGCCTTGGGGAGGCCAGGACTTTGCCAGCATCAAGGTCCATAGCGGGAATATAGGGGTAACATAGGGATAATGGAAAAGAACATGGAAATTATTACATTATAATAGGGTATATGTATATATTGGGGTTACAGTAGGGGATAAGTGAACATATTGTAGAGGGACCATATTTAGGGACAACATTCCTTTATTCCCTTAAACCCTGAACCCTAAACCCTCAAACCCTAAACCCTAACAAGTGAAGGAATCTGACGCCTCTCCTTGTTGGGGAGCGTCTCAAACTTCCATCGTAGGAATCCCGCAAAAAGGAAGGCCGTTGAGTCCTACCGTTGATGGACGACATCTCGCGCCACCTGGGGCCCTAAACTACTGCAATTCCCTAAGCATAAGCCCTAAGCCCAGACTTTCGGCACTGAAGATGGTGCAAGATTTCCTCCATCAACACTACTATGTCTGGGTCCCATTCTTAGACATGACCATGGTGAATTCGTAGAATTCCTCAGGTGTTTGTTGGGGTTTAGGGTTTAGGGCAGTCATTACTATTACTATACAACTCCTTAGACGGGGTTACATATACCCTAATCATGGAGAATCAAATGGAAAAGAACATGGAAAATGAAGTGGAGATTGCTATGTATAGGGTTCTATAAGGATCATTGGCAGTTTAATCTTATCGAGATCCACTGTCAAGACAAGGTCCTTTCTTAATTGGAATGTGGGCCCTGAGGAAAGTCATGTTGGCCAAGGCATCCCGTGAATGCTGCCCCAGCTAGACCGACGGTTTAGGGTTTAGGGTTTAAGGGCTTAACCCAGACCCATGATTAATAAACCTCATCCCCTTGAAAGGGATTATAATAGCGATCCGAATATTAAGGCCCTTAAAAGGAGGGGGTTTATTAATCAGCGGTCTACATTACCCTCAAGTGCAACGGAAGCCTTCTGAGGGTTGCCTTCGAAGAATATCCCTCCCGCCCACATTTGGCAAAATTGTTCTTTACCTACAGCACGAGCAGCATTATAGTCTATTATAATATATTATAGTATATTTTATAGTGCATATTATGGTATACATTATAGTATATTCATGTTTCTCAAGAATACCCAAAAAACTTACTGGCTACGCATCTGCCAGGTTGTGCCTCCTGCAGACATGCCTGCTCCAGCCGAAATCTCAGGATGGGCTCAGTCTGGGTTGCTGTTAAGGAACTTATTTTAAGTTACAATACTGTGAAAATCCTATTAATTACCACATGTACGCATTATGGTACAGTAATTTAACTTAAGTTCCCTCACAGCAACCCTGTTTTCGTTTACTCTTAGCTTGAGCTTACTAGAGTCTAGTACCAGATTGTCGGAAAGCTGCGTCCGGGGAGTGCCATGCGAAAGTAGGGGGCGCTAGCCTCCATGTAGGGGATGTCCCCACATGAGCTATAGTCTAAACTCCTAGTATCCCCCGTAATATCCCCTATAATAGTCCCCTATATTTCCCCCCATTAAAGAGTTTAGACTATGGTTCACATGTCACATGCAGCCGAGGCTGCGGCTCCGGCTCCTCCGAAACCCGCTGCTGCAGCTGCAGCACCGCCGAAGGCTGCTCCACCCCCCCAAAAGCTGCTATAGTATATTGGGGTTATATAGGATTATATTGCCCCCTTAATAATGGAGAATCAAATGGAAAAGAGAATGGATAATGAAATGGAAACTGCTAAAGCTGCATCATAGGTGTCCTTGGGAAGCAACCTGGGGTTTAGCAGATGCTCAAGCTTGCAGCTTGCATGGGTGTCGCAATGCTCACTGTGCAACTCTTCATGCAGACACATAGGTGGTTGTCAAAATTATGATCCCTTTTTGGGTACCCTAAATACTAGATGCGGTATTATAATAGGGATCCAAAAAGGGACCATAATTTTGACAACCACCCACATAGGTTTGGTGCCAGGTCGAGACAGACTTTGAAGTCCTTTGAGTAGCATCCGAACCGTGCACTGGCTGTTTCTTGTGAAGGTGCCAGCAGCAGAAGTCAAAAAGCCACCAGCTGCGACTTCCCCAGCCTTCCTTTGGCGCATGTATTGAGACTGGTCGGCTATCTGCGGCTCTTAGCAGCTGAAAATTTGCAGTTGCTCTGTTGACCGTAAGGAACTGAATTTAAGTGGAACCATATCATCCAGTACCTATATATATATATAAATGGAACCATATTTAGTTACCATACATATATATATATATTCCTACGCCCATTATGGTAACTTAATTTAAGTTCCTGACACCAACTGCAAAGTGTCAGGTGGCTGCCCCGGCTCCGGCTGCCGTGCCACCAGCTCCACAACCTGCTGTGGAGAGCCTTGCCCAGAAACTGGGTTGCTATTAAGGAACTTAAGCTATGTTACCATAATGGGTATATATATATATAGGGTACATGGGGTTTAGGGTTTAGGGTTTCAGGAACGTAGATTAAGTTGCCAGAATGGGTATGGGGCTTAGGGTGTAGGGTGTATATATATATATATAGTATTGAATATGGCTCCGCCTGAGTTAACTTCCTTGACAGCAACCCTCTCAAAGCGCTGCAATCTGCAAGACCTGATGTAGCAGTTGTTCTTGCACGGCTGCTTTGGCATACGTACCCTAAACCCTAAAACCCTAAAACCCTAAACCCCTAAACCCAAAACTGTTCCGTCCAAGGCCACCGCCTGCAGCTCCAACACCAAGACCACAGCCGACAATTTCAAAGGCTTTCACGACTTGTGACTGTAGGAGTTAGGGTTTAGGGTATTGGATTTAGGTTTTAGGGTTTAGGGTATAGGATTTAGGGTATAGGAATTAGGGTTTAGGGTATAGGATTTAGGGTTTAGGGTTTAGGGTTTAGGGTTTAGTGTTTAGGTTATCATTATAGGGTTTAGGGTTCTGGGGTTTAGGGTCTTATGCCGCCAAATTCACTTGGTAGTTTCCCAAAATAAGGCGATTCCAATGTAGATCCCAAAAAACTATAATCCTTATTCTGGGGACCCGCAATCCAAAAAGGTACCCCCAGTTTTGCAAACCCTAAACGCCATATATATTCCCTATAAGATCTTATAAACCACCAGAAAGGTTACCCCCAATCTTGGGAAACCCAAAATTCTATATATTCCCTATGAGACCCCTATAAACCCCCAAAAAGGGTACCCCTAATTTTGGGAACCCTAAGCCCTAAA